CTGGAGTTTGGATAGTATAGCTCAGTACCTGGAGTTTGGATAGTATAGCTCAGTACCTGGAGTTTGGATAGTATAGCTCAGTACCTTGAGTTTGGATAGTATAGCTCAGTACCTGGAGTTTGGATAGTATAGCTCAGTACCTGTTGTTGAGTAGTTTAGCTCTGTACCTGGAGTTTGGATAATATAGCTTCAGTACCTGGAGTTTGGATAGTATAGCTCAGTACCTGTAGTTTGGATAGTATAGCTCAGTACCTGGAGTTTGGATAGTATAACTCAGTACCTGGAGTTTGGATAGTATAGCTCAGTACCTGGAGTTTGGATAGTATAGCTCAGTACCTGGAGTTTGGATAGCTTAGCTCAGTACCTGGAGTTTGGTTAGTATAGCTCAGTACCTGAAGTTTGAATAGCTTAGCTCAGTACCTGGAGTTTGGATAGTATAGCTCAGTACCTGGAGTTTGAATAGCTTAGCTCAGTACCTGGAGTTTGGATAGTATAGCCCAGTACCTGGAGTTTGAATTGTATAGCTCAGTACCTGGAGTTTGAATAGCTTAGCTCAGTACCTGGAGTTTGGATAGTATAGCTCAGTACCTGGAGTTAGAATAGTATAGCCCAGTACTGGAATTTGGATAGTATAGCTCAGTACCTGGAGTTTGAATAGCTTAGCCCAGTACCTGGAGTTTGGATAGTATAGCCCAGTACCTGGAGTTAGAATAGTATAGCCCAGTACTGGAATTTGGATAGTATAGCTCAGTACCTGGAGTTTGAATAGCTTAGCTCAGTACCTGGAGTTTGAATAGCTTAGCTCAGTACCTGGAGTTTGGTTGGTATAGCTCAGTACCTGGAGTTTGGATAGTATAGCTCAGTACCTGGAGTTAGAATAGTATAGCCCAGTACCTGTAGTTGAATAGTATAGCTCAGTACCTGGAGTTTGAATAGCTTAGCTCAGTACTTGGAGTTTGGAATTTATAGCTCAGTACCTGGAGTTTGGATAGTATAGCCCAGTACCTGGAGTTTGGATAGTATAGCTCAGTACCTGGAGTTGAATAGTATTGCTCAGTACCTGGAGTTTGAATAGTATAGCTCAGTACCTGGAGTTTGGATAGTATAGCCCAGTACCTGGAGTTTGGATAGTATAGCTCAGTACCTGGAGTTGAATAGTATTGCTCAGTACCTGGAGTTTAAATAGCTTAGCTCAGTACCCGGCGTTTGGATAGTATAGCTCAGTACCTGGAGTTTGGATAGTATAGCCCAGTAAATTTGTAGCTGGAGTTTGGATAGTATAGCTCAGTACCTGGAGTTTGTATAGTATAGCTCAGTACCTGGAGTTTGGATAGTATAGCCCAGTACATTTGTACCTGGAGTTTGGATAGTATAGCTCAGTACCTGGAGTTTGGATAGTATAGCTCAGTACCTGGAGTTTGGATAGTATAGCCCAGTACCTGGAGTTTGGATAGTATAGCCGAGTTCCTGGAGTTTGGATGGTATAGCCCAGTACCTGGAGTTTGGATAGTATAGCTCAGTACCTGGAGTTTGGATAGCTTAGCTCAGTACCTGTAGTTGAATAGTATAGTTCTGTACCTTGAGTTTGGATAGTATAGCCCAGTACCTGGAGTTTGAATAGCTTAGCTCAGTACCTGGAGTTTGGTTGGTATAGCTCAGTACCTGGAGTTTGAATAGTATAGCTCAGTACCTGGAGTTAGAATAGTATAGCCCAGTACCTGTAGTTGAATAGTATAGCTCAGTACCTGGAGTTTGAATAGCTTAGCTCAGTACCTGGAGTTTGGATAGTATAGCTCAGTACATGGAGTTTGGATAGTATAGCCCAGTACCTGGAGTTTGGATAGTATAGCTCAGTACCTGGAGTTGAATAGTATTGCTCAGTACCTGGAGTTTGAATAGCTTAGCTCAGTACCTGGAGTTTGGAATTTATAGCTCAGTACCTGGAGTTTGGATAGTATAGCCCAGTACCTGGAGTTTGGATAGTATAGCTCAGTACCTGGAGTTGAATAGTATTGCTCAGTACCTGGAGTTTGAATAGCTTAGCTCAGTACCTGGAGTTTGGATAGTATAGCTCAGTACCTGGAGTTTGGATAGTATAGCCCAGTACCTGTAGTTGAATAGTATAGCTCAGTACCTGGAGTTTGAATAGCTTAGCTCAGTACCTGGAGTTTGGATAGTATAGCTCAGTACCTGGAGTTTGGATAGTATAGCTCAGTACCTGGAGTTTGGATAGTATAGCCCAGTACCTGGAGTTTGGATAGTATAGCTCAGTACCTGGAGTTGAATAGTATTGCTCAGTACCTGGAGTTTAAATAGCTTAGCTCAGTACCTGGAGTTTGGAATTTATAGCTCAGTACCTGGAGTTTGGATAGTATAGCCCAGTACCTGTAGTTGAATAGTATAGCTCAGTACCTGGAGTTAGAATAGTATAGCCCGGTACCTGTAGTTGAATAGTATAGCCCAGTACCTGGAGTTTGGATAGTATAGCTCAGTACCTGGAGTTTGAATTGTATAGCTCAGTACCTGGAGTTTGAATAGCTTAGCTCAGTACCTGGAGTTTGGATAGTATAGCTCAGTACCTGGAGTTAGAATAGTATAGCCCAGTACTGGATTGATAGCTTAGCTCAGTACCTGGAGTTTGAATAGCTTAGCCTCAGTACCTGGAGTTTGGATCGTATAGCTCAGTACCTGGATTTTGGATAGTATGGCCCAGTACCTGGAGTTTGGATAGTATAGCCCAGTACCTGGAGTGTGGATAGTATAGCTCAGTACCTGGAGTTTTAATAGCTTAGCTCAGTACCCGGCGTTTGGATAGTATAGCTCAGTACCTGGAGTTTGGATAGTATAGCCCAGTACATTTGTAGCTGGAGTTTGGATAGTATAGCTCAGTACCTGGAGTTTGTATAGTATAGCTCAGTACCTGGAGTTTGGATAGTATAGCCCAGTACATTTGTACCTGGAGTTTGGATAGTATAGCTCAGTACCTGGAGTTTGGATAGTATAGCTCAGTACCTGGAGTTTGGATAGTATAGCTCAGTACCTAGAGTTTGGATAGTATAGTTCAGTACCTGGAGTTTGAATAGTATAGCTCAGTACCTGGAATTTGGATAGTATAGCCCAGTACCTGGAGTTTGAATGGTATAGTTCTGTACCTGGAGTTTGAATAGCTTAGCTCAGTACCTGGAGTTTGGATAGTATAGCTCAGTACCTGGAGTTTGGATAGTATAGCTCAGTACCTGGAGTTTGGATGGTATAGCCCAGTACCTGGAGTTTGGATGGTATATCTCTGTGCGTGGAGTTTAAAAAAAATATAAATGTGGCCTATTTGCAAATAAACTTCTTAGTAGACATAGTGCCCAGAAAGCTAAATTGGAACTAATCCTGGTTTTTAACAGATGAGTAATGCAGGTTACTGCATCTGGGAAGCAGGCATTTTTAAGTTGAAGCGTACTCATAATTTTTGTGAAAAATGGCCATAAAGCGCATGACATTGTTCATTGGCTTTTTATAAATAACATTTTTTTGTGTGCTACAGTGACATATTTTTCAAAAAATTGTCCTAATATTTTTCCATAGAACACAATGTTAAAGAAAAATTGTCATAGAAACCTATGGTAAAATTGCCATTATCCACTATAGTACAACCATCTTTTCCGAAAAAATTCAATATTCTTATATTGCCCAGGAGTACAATGTATTACAAAATTAATAAATTCTGGGTATTTGCTTTTATGAGTAGTCTTCTACCTTAATGGAGGTCAGTTTGTATCCCAAATATCAGAGTAATATAAAAGTAAATGGATGGGGTGTGCTTGGTCAGACATGGATGGTATCACATTATACATCAATGTCAGCAGATAATATGTTAAGTTGGTTAAATATCATATGGTATCTTTGTGAAACCAAACCCAAGTTTATCTCTCTCACTGCCATTTTGTTTGCATACATTATGTAACCAAACACTTTTTAAGCTTGCCAACATTGAAACATTATCTTAAACTAATATTTGTTTCTACTTTTAGGAGGCAAATATAAAGTTACAATCAAGACAAATGAGATGCCATCTGCTGGCACTGATGCAACAGTATCTATTACAGCCTATGGTAAAAAAGGCAACTCAGGACCATTGATACTTGGTGGTGGTGATGGTAATACATTCCAGTCGGGTAACATTGATGAATTTACGGTTAGTCATTTACCAATATTGATACTTGGTTATGGAGATGGTATTTCAGTCCACTCAGGTAACATTGATCGAATTACAGTAAGTCATTTACCAACATTGACACTTGTTGGTGGTGATGGTAATACATTCCAGTCGGGTAACATTGATGAATTTACTGTTAGTCATTTACCAATATTGATACTTGGTTATGGAGATGGTATTTCAGTCCACTCAGGTAACATTGATCGATTTACAGTAAGTCATTTACCAACATTGACAGTTGGTGGTGGTGATGGTAATAATTCCAGTCGGGTAACATTGATGAATTTACGGTTAGTCATTTACCAATATTGATACTTGGTTATGGAGATGGTATTTCAGTCCACTCAGGTAACATTGATTGAATTACAGTAAGTCATTTACCAACATTGACACTTGGTGGTGGTGATGGTAATACGTTCCAGTTGGGTAACATTGATGAATTTACGGTTAGTCATTTACCAATATTGATACTTGGTTATGGAGATGGTATTTCAGTCCACTCAGGTAACATTGATCGATTTACAGTAAGTCATTTACCAACATTGACACTTGGTGGTGGTGATGGTAATACATTCCAGTCGGGTAACATTGATAAAATTACGGTTAGTCATTTACCAATATTGATACTTGGTTATGGAGATGGTATTTCAGTCCACTCAGGTAACATTGATCGATTTACAGTAAGTCATTTACCAACATTGACACTTGGTGGTGGTGATGGTAATACATTCCAGTCGGGTAACATTGATGAATTTACGATTAGTCATTTACTACCAAACATTGACACTTAGTCATGGAGATGGTAATTCAGTCCAGTCAGGTAACATTGATCGATTTACAGCAAGTCATTTACTACCAAACATTGATACTTAGTCATGGAGATGGTTATTTAGTCCAGTCAGGTAACATTGATCGATTTACAGCAAGTCATTTACTACCAAGCATTGGGCCATTCCAGTTTATATCTGCACCCCCCCTGTTGATGAGCTTGTGTGTTTACTTCATACAGGGTATAATTTCCATGGATGTATAAGTCATACAAAGTTTTATTTCCAAATCACCATTCACCATACAGTGATGGAAATCCAAAACTATAGTTCCTACTTACGGTGTTGATGAGTTCCTTTGTGCCACCATACAGAGTAGGATTTCCAAATATAACTCTTATATGCTAATTCAAAAATATTTATTTGACAATAGAAATCCAAACTAGTCCTGATTCACGGTGTTGATGAGCTCATTCGTGCCACCATCCTTATCTAATTTCAGTAATAACTATTTCATACTGGCCCAATTTTTTTACCATATACAGTCAGAATTCCAAGTTTTTTTAGTCATACTGTTGGAAATCTAACCTCATCAACCGGTATGTGGCGAGATAAACTAGGCCATATTTTATTTAGTAGCCATAACTGCC